CATTGGTCCTGGAGGCCACTGAAGAAGGGCGACGACTCTATGAGAAGATGAATTTTAAGCTCGTTAGGGAGGCCGAAATGATTGAGGATATCGAGATGGGGTGTACAATGCAGTGGCAGCACGATAAATCATAAGATGGGGTAGGCGTGGTTTATGAGTACTAATACAGTTAGCAACTATCTGGTAATTGCGATTAGTAGTGCCATATCTATGCTGTAGTGTTTCTTACGAGACTACGGTTATGGGTTTAACGTCTTTATTTTGTTTCTCTGATGCGTTGTTTACATGCTGGCGTTTTAGCTTGTTTGTTTGTCAACTATTTTTTACATGTAGTACATAGTGAATAATTTATTCTCTAATTCTAAGAGTTGATTCATTTCTGATTTCACAACCTTTCGCAGTGGCCATTTGTAAGATGATATTATGCGGGAGCGGGCCGCTCCGCTCCCACGCCTTACCCTCTCCCAGCCACTTCATCTGACACCTCAAAAAAAAAGTTATTTGAGACGCACTTAGGCGCATTTATAAGTATATCACAAAACAGCTTGATTTTGCTGCGTGCATTCAGTTGCTATTTTGAGATTAATCGAGTGACCTGCTGTGCACTATCGGCGACGGCCGGTACCTTCGACTTCTGCTGTTCTGCTTTCTGTTTGTTAAACTTCACCCACTCACTTCACCTCGTTAATCCCAGCTAAACTCCGAACACTATACATACATAACTTTCAGATTCATGCACAAAGTAAAACGGATCCCATGTTTCTCAAGGTGCACAATGTTCTAGTTGGCCGGCGGATGATACTGGTCCGCGGACTACCCAGTTGCCCCGTGGAATACCCGATTTCCGCCGGCCAACCGGTTGTTCCAGGGAGCTGGGTAGCCCGTGGGGCAACTGGTCAGTCACCGGAGTTGGGTAGTCCACGGGTTGGCACATAGTTGGCCGGCGGACTGACTGGGTGGCCAGCGGAGGGGTGTCACTCCGTGGGGTACCTAGGTGGCCGGCGGACAGTCTGGGTGGCCAGCGCAGGGGTGTCACTCCGTGGGGTACCTAGGTAATCAGCAACTGCCTGTACACTCCATTGTCATGGTCGGCATGTGAATGCAAGTTGCCAAAACTTGGGTGGCGCAGCATCCGCTGACGCGCTGTCTGGAACCTTCAGTCTTGCCTTGCGAGAGGTCAACAGTGGTAGTTCTCAGCCAAAACAGCCGCTGGTACGCCGGACCAGCACAAGAAAACGGCGCAGGGCAGACACGGCCGGAGCTGCAACTTCCACTACCAAGTCCACAAAGCCAAAAGAGTCCTGTAGCAAAGTAACAGCCTCTAATAGTGATATTGGCGAGATGGATGACAGCAGTGTAGGGGAGGAGAGCGAACACGATAGCGAGCAGGAACCCAGCGAGGACAACTCTAGTAGTGTTTCCGACGAGGATGCTTGAACACTATGTTGTATGGGTAACTTTGTTAGCGATAGTTATTTCACTAGGTCTAATTGTAGCAGCAAGTCGGACGTTTTTCAATGGTACAGCGAGAATCAGCGTCAATCTAGCTTTATTGTGAACTAAAAATCATCGTGATAGAACAAAAAATAGAGTGTTTTATGGACCATCCGGGTGGGAGGTTGTCTGTAGCCGGAAGTTTTCACATGGAATCAAGCACTGGTTGGCCAGCGGAGTCTGAAATAACCAGTTGACCGGTGGAAGATGGAGAGGCCAGTTAATCCGTGGAGTAACTGGGTAGTCCGTGGGCGACGGTTAACTGCCGGCCAACTAGAACACACAATCTTGCACTGGTGTCAGTCTCGGTGCACAGACCGATGAGAAATCCCTACAAACAGCGATATCACACAGGTTAATTAATCTAAGCTCAAGGGGGAAATTTCTCGAATCCGTCAGAAAGCTTAAAAAGGATGCATATATATTCTACGAGTTGCCATAACGTCGGTACTTGGCTGCAACGAGGAAAGCCATACGGCAAATGTAGAAATTCTCATAGCTGGGAGGTTATATCAAACTTCTATACATTTTTGACCATGATTTCGTGTCTGGCAGCGCCTCCACTCTATTCCCACTCATAAATCGACTAGAGACAGAGGGTATGCGTGGTTTCCAGTGGAAAGTGGTTTACCTCGACCACCTATAAAAGGGAAAAGTTTCGCAAAGCCTTCCTACACTACTACCCCAAGCTCTTCTTCGTAAGCCTGCTTAACTTTATCTATCAAATAAGAAATCTAGTAGGTCTGGTTGTCTTCTATATCATTGTGTGAAAAAGAGCTAATCGGGGTCATCCTAGCTAAAACCCGTACTATACCTCTCGGACGGACCGGTGCGCGGCCCCGGAAGAACCAAAACTACTCTTGCGGCGTCTAAAAGCTGGCGAGAATCCGGGCCCAAGCTCGCCCAACCAAGCGTTATCCATGACCAGGGTTTGGGCAGGCGGGGCAGTGTTAGTCCGCCTTGGCCCTCCGTTCTCCGATATGTGTGTGTGAGACGTCAAAGTGCAGCGTTGAAGCTCGACCAAGACGGATGCGTCGTCAGTACTTATTTCCCGGCCGCTTTTGAGGTAGCAAGTGCACCACAGAACCACAGCCCATCAGTCTCGGCGCAGTGAACGGTATACATGATGTATTTTGTACAGGGATCGCAGGACTCGATGACGTTGTGTGTGGGTAGTCATCGGCGTCGGAAACAGAGGGGGTCTTGGAGGCTCGCTAACATGGAATTAAGTTGGCTCTCCAAACAATCAATTTCCAATAATTTAGGGTCCTAGTATTCGCCTGGACCTGGGTCTGTCTCGAAGGGCTGTATTCTCACGATGTAGTAAGCTGAAACTATGGTTAAGCGCCTACGAAGTATTACTGGCCCATCCTACGCCTCGTATAGTTGCCGGTCCATGCAATTATACAATTTCGCTCAAAGGGGCCTGTTTAGCTTCCGCGTATTAATAGTGGGACTTCACCAAAGTTAACCTTACGTCCGTCTGGCCAGAGGGGTCGGGTAATTCTGCGAGATTACGGAAGCGAAAACGGCGTTAAAGGCGAAACTTACTACGTGCGCAACGATACCCACGGATATGTAGTCGACTCGCAAGTATCGTATTGCCCAGCTCAACGCCCACGTGCAAAACGATACCCAGTCTTATACGACACACCCTACACAGCACACTACTCGTGTGGGCACTCCCGATCCTATACGTACGTTACACCATCAGTAGCCGCTCTAGATATTATTGACAAGTGCCTACGCTACTAGGATCGCAAGGACTTTGGCACTGTTCCTTGACATAAATTTCGGACTTTGCAGAAAAGACCCCGCTACAACAACCCTCAACGCTCCACAATTGTTATTTTAAACAATAAACTTATAGTCCCAGTAGCCATCATCTATATCTAAGCTTTCTTTCTAATTAGTTTTAAAAATTTAGGACCGGTGAAATAATTAATTTGTGTTGGTCACGCGAGGCGGCGAGGGGTACGAGAATTTATGTCCATATGCACGCTGACCTGGGGCTGAGTTTTCTGCTGTTGCTGACTTAATTATTACTGCTAGTGTAGGGATGGGGTCACAGACTACTCGTACCATACTGGAAACAAACATCGAACTGGAAATGCTAGTTGTTCACCACCAACTTATCCCAGCGTGAGCCTTGTCAATGCGCCCCGCATCGCGGCCGTAATCCTCTCTCCTACGCACTTGTCCGTGATCAGCTATATCCTCACCATTCTAGAAGCCAGCCCTCCCTTCCAGTACGCCAAACGTGCGCCAAACGTACGCTAACCGCTAGTTTCACCAAATGGGTGAAAGAGATCTGGTGGGGATGTCTACCCCGTATATACGCTTTGGGGGCTGAATTGCTTATTAGCTATATAACGTCACAGGAGGCTACTATATAACCTCACCGATGCCGCGCATCTGCAACACTCCAAAAAGTACTGTTATACAACACTTTCCTACAGACTGCCCTACCAAGCCATTCATTCTCGGTCAGCCAGCTCATCTCACAGTCACTCTCACGCCCGGATTTCCAACTCGTCCTCAACAGCTCATTCCACACAAAGAACCATCGACGTTTGTATCCATATGTATACATCGATGATCACCGCTCCAACGCCGCTGTCACAGGTACTGGCACTGATGGGGCTTATCGGCGTCTTCATCCTACTGTTCTGCGACCTAGACCTCTCCTCCTACCTCTCCTCCTCCACCGCGCCGCTACTACACGATAGCAAGCACGTCGACGACGAGTACGACAACGAATCAGACTACTTCCGCGTGGAAATGGGAGCAGATGGGGGACTATTCATCAAGAATGAAGGCGAGGACGAGATATTTCGGTGATCGATACTCAACACACAGAGAGAAAACTTTTCCTTTTCCTTTTTGGTTTTGCAATGGCGTTTTGTTCTTTCTACGGCTATAGGCGTCTACGGATTTCGTTTGTTTTTGGGTATTTTTTGGCTGAGGGGAAATTGGGGGAGTGGGAATGGAGTTGCACGCAGGACGGGGAATTGTGGTTCCGCAACGGATGCGGGATGGCTGCATTCGTACGTACCACGAGAATGCGGATGTTTCAGTTCCGGGGATTTTGTGTCGTTGCATCCCTGGTCTGATGACAGGCCGGATCGGATCCGAGCATGGTGCATGGGCGGAGCTGGATTGCATCGTACTAGTACGACTACGGGGAATGTTGATAAGGCTTGGCTATCTGTGGCTGCTGTGTTACAATACTATAGAGGCGTCTGTATATATGGGAGGAATCGAATTTCTTCGTTGAATTGTGTTAAAACACGTCGTTTGATCATCATCGTGCTGTTAAAACATCGTCCCGGTTGAACGGTTCACTATTCACCGTGCGATACGCACCCTGCCTTGATCGGCCCCCGGTGCGAATCACCCCGCCATACCAAACTCCGCACCCCGTGATCCACTACAACAACCCTTCTATCCAAGCAACAAAATAAAACAGACAATCTCCAAAAGGAATCGACCGTTAAGATCATATCTGATTCAGCCGGGATTTGAACCCGGGTCGGGCGCAGAATTGCTGTCGTCGGATCTGATGATCGTTGGAATGGCAAGCGCCCATGATACCCCTACACTACTGAATCGGATGATATTAGACAACGCGGCGGCGTAAGTATGAGACTAAATCCTTAAGCAGAGAAGTTGAGAAGCCTATGATACCTCCTCAAGAGACAAGAAGCAAGATGTTGGTATGGCCGCAGGGAGGTAGAGTCTGACCGGCGCGGGGAGATGGATGCCCATGAAGCCATTGGTGCCTTTTTCATAGATCTTTGTACGTCGAGGTTTTTGATGAAGAAGTCTTTGAGGAGAGTGAGAGCTAGAGCTCAATGATTGCAGACAGCTAGCAGGGGATATTTTCAAAGATCAATGTTGTTTGTGATACCGGTCGAGTTGAAAGCGACTGTATAGATCTGGATAGATCTGTGAAGAGGGCTGCGACATTGCTGGGGTTAATCAAAGTGTAAAAGCGGGTTTCCGTCGGTAAGTTGCAGACAGGATACGGGGACAATCTCTTTACAGTGACCACAATCTGCGAATATGCAGCTATCCGGACTCCACAGAAAGGTGGCGTTATTTTACTGGCTTCAGTTTTTGTTCCATGCAAATAGTAGGTACGTACCACTCGTAGTATATAGAAAGTTTTCGGTTTCCACTAGAGCAATATCTTGTGGAAGTATTTAGCTCCTGTCTGCCTAAAGGCCGGATTGTGCTGCGCTGCCCGTTGAAACGGGTGATATATGGTGACGACACGGAGCACCTAAAGCTAAATCTCGTGCGCAGCCCACTCGTTATCTAATACAATCATCCTCGGTGAATTAAAGGACAGTTTCCCACAGCAGGCACGAGGAAATTCAGGATTAGCACAAAAACAATTCGGCGGGGCACGAGAAAACACAAGGGTCCGTCGCAGCTGGCGGTCGACTTTCAATCAGATAAAGAAATGTTCAATTTGGTAGGACATAAAGGGGCATAGAAGCAACGAGGTATAGAAGCGAAAACGAGTGATGGTAAATGCAACAACTGCAAAACACTCAAAACACAAAAATAAACAAAAGAAACCTTGGCAGGATATAACGAGAGTGTAGAAGCAAAAACGAGGGGCAAGGGAAAAAGCAACAACTGCAAAACACTCAAATCTGAAAACTCAACCAATGAAACCGCAGACAGAAATCAAAACGCAATGAAACAGGCAAGTACATACAATATGTACTATCGCTCTGGCGACGAAGACCCAGATTCCGATTCCGGCTTCGGATCGCGGTAATCTTCTCGTGGGTTGGGTCCTTTTTTCGAGGCAGGGGGCGCCTCCTTCATCTCGACATCCTCCGCCGGCAGCGGAGGCGCGTCCGTCATCGGTGTGTCCACCGGTTCCCGCGTACCCACGGTATTATCAATAGCCAGATCCAAAAAGTTTTCCGCTAAATCAGAAGGCATCTTGCAAATTCGACAAGTTTGTTCGGATTTCGGTAGTGACGTTATGTTATGGTGGCTCGCTTAGATTGGAGCAGGCTGAAGCAGGTTGGGGTTAATGATGTTTGCTATAGCGAGCGTGCTGCATAGTTATGCAGTAATTCGGGACTCGAGTTGGCGTGGGATTCGGACGCCCGGTGTCGAGTTGTTGGCGGCCCGGAGGCGCATGTTGATATCGGCGGCGCATTTCGGGGGTTTCTTGGCTTGTCGAGGCTGGGTATGGGATGTTTGCAACTGGTGCAAGTTGTTTTGAAGTGGCCTTACTGCTATCTTGAATTTTCACTTTGGCTTCAATGAGATATGGGCGGGGGGAGGGGACACCGCGAGCGGCCAAAGCCAGGCTCGTGGGATAGAGATATTCTCTGGTGTTTAAATTGTTCTAGTGGGTACATAGTTACCGCCCAAGTAGGCATTTATACCACCGGGAAGTTACCGGTACGAGATGCTCGGGGTTGAGAAAGCCCATACAGAGATGTTGGAGACGGTTGAAGAGGTGATGAACCATGAGATGAGAGCAAGCAGCAAACATGAATGCCATGCACGTGAAACATGACGCATGGCTCACGAAATCGAATGACCACCGGTGCAGATGTGCCATCTTCGACACAAGATTCCATTTGGACCCGGTTCAGGCAGATTTACCCAATTCGTTGTATCTGTTAGCAGGCGGTTAGGGTTCCCTCCATCATGTGGCCGATCTCACAAACAATTCTTTGTCTCAACCGCTGACTAACCGCACAGTCTCATGGAGGGTTTTCATCCGAAACCCTTTGAGTCCTGTTTCCATCGCACACAAACATAGACATACCACCAGAAATATTATCATTGCACCTCTAGAAGTAAATAGCTTCCAACCCCTGAAGAGGATGTCTTCCTTCATGTGTCACAACTTGTCGAGCTTCTAATAATGAATGGGCTGCGAATTAAATGATGCACTAAAAGTACATCAGCTCAGATTATTTACACATTTGTACGTCTCACCCCAAAGCCCCAGCTGCACAGCACCAGTACGTCTACTAATAAACTGAATGGACACGCCCATAAACTTTTCACGATTCAAGAAGACCATGCAAACCAGACCCAACGCCTCCAACGCCCATTGACCCATCTGCACAGCTGCCCACCTCCTCCGTCCCCACCAGCCAGTCTGCGACTCTACATATCGATACACCGCCGCCGGCACCGGCGCCTGCACAATCCTCGGAAGCCTAACCGGGCCCGCACGGGGCGCAAAATACTCGCCCTGCCCACCTCCCGTCTCCGCCGCCGCCGCTGTCGCCACAGGCTGAAAGAACTCGCCGCCCTCGCGCACCATATCGCCCTGCACAATCAGCGCGACATCGACCGGCTGCGCCGCCTCTACGGGCACGGCCACGGGCACGGGCTGGTTGCGGCGCAGCCGGACGCGGCGGTACCACTGGTAGAGCCCGTACGCTAGTATAGCTGTGATAAAGGCCGCGAGTATGGCGCCGATGATGGGGGCTAGGTAGGTGCGCATTGTGGATTGTGGGCGCTGTGGGGGAGAGAGAGAGAGGCGCTGTGCGGGAGAGAGGGAGGTGTGGTGGTGAAGTGGGATCGTGTATTGGGGTAACGCGCTGGAGACGCGTGCTGGGGAATACTTAACTATGGCACGTGTTGGAGGTGAGTCAGATTTTAAGGTTGATAGAGATGTGACGCTCATGTATGAACAGTTAGATTGGTGGGGTTTTAGCCTAAACGCGTCTCGTACAGCATCGGTATGACTCGACGCAGTGGCCGGACTTGCAGGTTGTCAAGCTATGACTGCTCGTTGTAACCAAGAATTAAGTAGAACTAGTATGTGCACGATGCGATTGTTGAGATAAGGTCTGGCCGTCGTCTTTTGGCCCTACATACACTGACTGGTTAAGGGTTGCATCGCGAAAATAGAGTATGAGCTCGCCAGCCTGAACGTGCGCTAAAGGTGGCGTGCCAATGTAGATCGCGGTTGGTCGTCTACAGCACAAGTACGAGTATGTACCCCCACCCTACTGGGACGACAGAAAATCTTGCACAGTCCAAATCTCATGTATCTAGCTAGCCACATCCGAACCCGCAAAACAGTAGCTAAACACAACGTCCTCAAATGTACAGCGATAATCATTATATCTATGTTGATTAACACAATGAATACAATTACACGTTCAACATATATTCTAACGCCCCAACTGTCCCGACTCCCCGAGCCTGCTCTAATCAGAATACAGTACAGTCCGAAACACCAGGAAATTTTTGTAACATGAAAACAGACAGAAAAACACAAACTCCGAACGCGCCCGCTCCGCACATACTGATACAACTGTGACCCTGCCTGTGAGTGTCGATACCGCGCCTACGCTCCGCCACCATGTCCGCCCGAGTGTCCGCCAGCATGCACACCCCCGCCCCCGCCCCCGCTACTTTCACCGCTTTCACCGCCTGCATGGCCGCCATTATGACCCCCAATCCCGCTCTCGCCTCCCGCGCCGGCGTCTCCATTCGCTCCCCCAGCTCCCCTCATCACAGTCCGCGGCGCCCCGCCCGCCCCTCCCGCCCCCGCCGCTTCCACACCGCCGCCGCCAGTGTTCCGCGCACGCTTGTAGCGTCCCAGGATCGCGAGCACGGCGACGAGGAAGATGATCGCCGCTGTCAGTGCGCCGACGACGATGCCGAGGGTTAGGATCGTGGAGGTGCCGGAGGGGGTGTCTGACATTTTGCGCGTGTGCAGAGGTGGTGGTGTGCAAGGCTCTGGGTGTTGTTGGTCGAGCTGGGTGAGGTGTCGATTTGGTTGGCGGTTTGGTGGGTGTAGAGAGTGTCGGTGTAGAGAGTGTAGATGTGGTGAGTGGTGTTGAAGTGCTGCACGGTTGGAGCGCGAGAGATCGATCCCGGGCCGTCGCAGTTCAAGTACGCGTCCCCAGCGCTGCAAAGGGGCAATGCCGGGCCCCTCCAGCCTGCTGCCTGCTGCCTGCGTGCCGTGTCCAACAGTGAGTCGACTCGGAGTCGACGGACGACCCCGGTGAGGCCGAAACAGCACGCTGGAGTCGACCGGCGTGGGCGTGCTGCGTGCATGGGTGTTTATGTATATTATGCTTATTGTGGCTCCCGGCGCGAGTGTGGTTTCAGAGATAGCATCTGTCTGCCTGCCTGGAGGTGTTCAACACAAGATAAACTTTGGCATCTTAAAAGTTATTGAAAGTTGTCTGTTGGTGAAATCAAATGCTTCTGTGGACAGCAATTGTAGTTCGGTTGGTGTGTTGCAGCGGGCTTTGAACGTGAGCTCCAGACGCTACGAGAAGTTTTTCACTGTCGAGGCTGGCCGCTGATTTGATGATGGCAGCCAGTTACGGGTTGATGCGAACGGCGAAACGAATGCATAGTGGCGCAACCCCGCTAGCTCGACGGCGAGACTCATGGTCGCTGCGCCGGCGCTGGTGACGAGCCGACGAGCTGCCAAAGAAAATCGAAACGTGAAACACGGATGCAAGGCGATACGAGCATCGGTAGTATCGCATATTCTCCAGGTATTTCGCGGACGTCTGGCAGAGTTGCACTGCGCGTTCTGCATTGACTACCGAGAGCCCCATGAATGACAGTAGTTTGTGACACTGGGTTTGTG